GTGCGGAGCCGATCAGCTGTTTGTCGGCTCAGCACGGTAGTCTGGACGCGCGGGTGTCAACATCAAAGGCATTTGTCAACCACCCAGGTAAACCTCATCCCAGGAGGCATACCTGGGTGGTTGACAAATGCCTTTGATGTCGACACCCGCGCGTCCAGACTACCGTGCTGAGCCGACAAACAGCTGATCGGCTCAGCGCGGCAGCCACGTAAATTTAAATGAAGCGGCGATTATTTAAATCGCCGCTTCATTTTCCTATGCCTGGTAGCCTAATCTACATGCCTCTGTCGTCAGAGGCATGTAGTCTAGACGTAGCCTTAATCTAAAAGGCCTTCTTAATTCCTGCTTGTAATATTCTTGTAGCCATGCTGTCTAAGCACATTAGAGAGGCATGGTAAAGAAGAATTTGGTGTGGCTTGTCTCTCACCAACAGAAGTTGGTTAAACATCATCATCCAGCTTTTCAATTTCTAGCATATGATTCAATCTGCGTGTAATACAATATCGGCTGCAGGGGACAATCTTTTACTATAAATAATGAGTTACGTTTTTCCCGTGCCTAATTCTTAAGACTCTGTAGGGTTGTGTCTATAGCATGCCATTGCTCTTAGCTGAATAATTAAATACAAGCAAATAATTAAATACAACCAGGAGTCTGCCTTACAGATTTCCGTCTGCAACCCATCCCTGGTACTGTGCTCCAAAAAGCTTTTAATAAAAATCTGTGAAGATTGTCCAAAGGAACACAATATAGAACGACAAACTTTTCTGACAAACAAATATACATGCACATGCATAAAGAAGAAAATCATTGCTCCAGTCCTTTTCTACTAGATAAGAGTAATAGGTTGCAAGGCCATAGGTTTTAAGGCATCTTTGGTTAAAAGTGGTTCAAAGCATTTTCTTGTGAAGTACCTGTATAATACATACCCAACCCATTCAAACTAAAAAGGCATCAAGTTGTATTTCTGAAGACACAAACTCTGTGCAGATGTGTAGGCAAAGGTGTATGAACTTACAGAGTCCCTGCTCTGCAGATCTCTCTGATAAGGGGAATAGAATGTGATAGTAAGATAAACTTTAATGCTTTCCCATTAGGGATGGGGACTCAAACAAAAAGGACAGCACATCTCAGAACCTGAGTCTACAGTGCTACAGCACTAAAAATAGTCATGTAGATAGACATTCCAGCTCAGGCTGGAGCTGGGCTCTAACACCTGAGGCAAGGGGGATTCAGAGCTTGTGCTCCAGCCACAACTCAAAAACCTACACTGCTGTTTTCAGCACCATAGTGTGAGCCCAAATCTGCAGACCTTGGCTCCAAGGCTCGCTCCCTTGATTGCAAATCACTCCTGAATTTCTCTCTGTGCCTGACTTGCAGAATAGGTAACATGCACAAGTCACACACACACAAAAGAAATCTACTTGTCACTTCCCCTTTCTCAGGGTGAACTGTAATTCTCTGCAAAAGCCAGACCCAGGCCCTCATCCGGGAGAAAAACCCCATCTCTTGTCATGTCAGAGAATAACCCAAGAGAGCTGAGTATCTCACTTGTTCCTTGGCCAGTACAAGGGCTGAGCAATGGGGCGGCAGTGTGCCCAGTATTTCACTAAGGGGAAGCACTGACAGCTGCCAAGGGAAGTGTAGGCCAGAAAGATGGTGGCTGTAATAAGGACCTAAAGGGTGAAGGTCTAAAGGGGAGGTAGGTATTGGGATACAGAGAGTCCAACAGGGAATACACAAAGGGATCGTGAAAAACATTGGTTTAACTAGTTAATCATGATCCCACCGAGTATGCCTATATTCAGCAACTACTTACCCAATTACCTTAACCAGGAGAGCACCATTAAAGCGCTGAAGCACACTGTATGCTCTACACTCCTCCAGTTGGGGAACAATACCCCTGGATTTTGATGCATGTACCAGTGTGAGTGCACACATATTACATGTACATCCTCAATTTTTTCCCCTGATCGTACACACAGTTGTCACCTTCCCAGCACTACTCTTTAGCAGCTGAACACCCATTGTGCTTGTGCGTACCCAAGGCAAAGTCCACAGCCTGATGCACACTGTGGAAGAGGACATTTGGTTCCCCTTTTTTAAAATACTCGCCCCGGTGCAGGGAACCCCTCACAGAGGCGTTGCACTTGGCTAACAACACCTGGATGCCTATTTCCTCATAATCTTTGCAGATCTCTTTAAGTGTGTGGATCCCTGCTGTGTCCAAGAACTGTACTGCACAGCAGTCAATCACTATGGTGTGACACACCAGCGGCTCAGTGACAAGCTGCACTGAGACGTCTGCCGGGCTGCCATCAGAATTTGCCCTTTTCTCTTTCAGCATTCGCTTTGCTGCCTTTTTCTTGGCTGCCTTCACCCTGGCGGGGTTGACTCCTGTCTGCTTATAAAGAGTGGATTTAAAGCATTCCTTGTTGACATAGTAGAGAGGCGCTTCAAAACGGAAAACCACGATGCCTGGCTTCATCCTCAGGTTCTTATAGGCAGACAGGGATTCGTACATTTCAGTCTCTGCCACCTGGCCGAGCAATGATGCCTCTGGTCTCTGAGTCCTCACAATAATGCACAGCATTGAGAAGCAGACACCAATAAGCAGGCCAATTTCAGTACTAATCAGTGCCGAAGCAGCCATCGTGACTAACCAGATCACTGTGTCCACTTTGCTCAAATGCCACATTTTTGGCAGATCCCTGAACTTCCTCAGGGCTCCTCTGAGGTTCACAATGGTTATGACCCCCAGCACGCATTTCTGAAGGGAATAGAAGAGAGGTGCAATCAAAAGCAGAACTAACAGGATGACCAACGCGGTCACCACACCAGAGATCTGAGTTCTGCAGCCTGTTGACTCTTTGACAAGAGTCTTAGCAAGAGCTGCACTAGTTGTGAAGCAGTGGAAGAAAGAGGGAATAATGTTGCAAAAGCCAATGGCGTACATTTCCTGATTGGCCTTAACTGTGTAACCATGCTTCTTGGCAAACATCTCAGAGAGGGACACAGTGATAGCAAAGCCAATAATGGCAATGGCAACTGCATCTATTGCCACACTAGGAATCAGATCCCATTTGGGTGGATGGGGTGGCAGGAACCCAGTTGGAATGTGTCCAGCTATACTGGAGCCATAATTCTCCTTCAGCTTCCCGAAGTGAGATGCCAGCGTGGCTGCCACAATCACAACCAGTTCAATGGGGATGGGGGCCTTGAGTCTGGATTTGAAGTGCTCATTCAGTTCTTTGGTTGGGACTAGGGCAAGAAGACACAAGAAGCTGGTGATGAGGTCGCAGATATTGGTCTTGTGGATGTTTTTGAAGATGTTTATCCAAGTGGTGACGAGGGAGCCAATGCCACTGCTGCGTGGAATGTCCAGGCCCAGGAGATACTTCACTTGGGACGTTAGGATAGTAAAGGAGGCACCTGTGACAAATCCGCTGAGTAAGGAATCGGAGAGGTACACTGAGACAAAGCCCACCTGAAAGAAGCCCAAAGCAACCTGGAAGGAATCAAACACACACAACAGATTAGAGTACAAATTTTAGCATAGTGGAAATTAGCAGGAAGATGAGTTAGACAATATGGCATAATATGTGACTTTGCAGGATAGCCCACCATCTGATGAGTGAAATGAAATGCAAGCCAGACTCCCTAGCCACTCCAGATGCATTTGCCTTTAATCAGACGCACAACTGCTAATCAGGCTTTGGTTCTCAGACAAGAGATTCACTTTTGAATTCATGTTTGTATTTTGCTCATTGTTTCTTGCAACTCTCAGCAACAACTTATAGCATGCTGAAAGGATAAAAGGGGGAGCACAAGGAACAAAAGGGTTTTTTACATTTGGTATAGAAATCCCAACAATGCTTAGGTTACACAGATAAAAGAAAATTTAAAAAATGTATTTTTATTCATATTTATAAATTATAGTTCCACTTACATCTTTGGTGCTGTCTATAGTAAGCCTATAATGGAAAGAAAATACAGGACTATGTAGCACTTTAAAGACTAACAAGATGGTCTGGCCCACGAAAGCTCATCATCTAATAAACCATCTTGTTAGTCTTTAAAGTGCTACATAGTCCTGTATTTTGTTTCAGCTACACCAGACTAACACGGCTACATTTCTATCACTATTCTATAATGGAAAGGACTGGATAGATGCATAGCTTCCTTTTCCTCTGCCCCAGCAGTATGCACTAAGGCTATGTCTATACTGCTTCCTATGCAAATGAAGTGCGGATTAGCATATTGCCACGCTTCATTTGCAAAATTAATTAGGGGTAGTTTTTGTGCAAGATGCTTTTGCGCAAAAAGCAGCTGTGTAGATGGGTCTTTTTTGCGCAAAAGCCTCTTGCGCAAAAATGGCCCCTAATTATTTATGCAAATGAAGAATGGCAATATGCTAATCCACACTTCATTTGCATAAGTTTTTGTGGAAGATGGGTGCAGTATAAATGTAGCCTTATACTGCGAGCTTTTTGCGCAAAAATGGTTGTTTTATGCAAAAAACAGTGGAGCGTCCACACCTCAAATGTGCTTTTGCGCAAGGAAATCAGTAGTAAACTGGCAGAACAGAGGGCTTTTGCTGGTGTAGGTAAACCTCCTCCTACGAGGAATAACTAACTCCCTTTTGCGCTACAGCTATTGCACAAAAAGGCAAGTGTGGACGCTCCAGAGGAAAAAGCTCAGGTTCTCTGATGGCCATTCTGTGCATGGCCATCAGAGCTTTCTTGTGCAAGAGCGTCCATGCAGTGTGGACGCTCTCTTGCGCAAAAGCACATCACTTTTGCGATGAGCTTTGAGGTGTGGATGTGCTCTTGCACAAGAAGTTTTTGCACAAAAACTCTTGCACAAAAGGCTTCTTGCACAAGAAGCCGGCAGTGTAGACGTAGCTTCTGTGTCCCTGTGTAGCCCACACACCTAGGGAGCCCTGCAGCCTAAGCTGAGCAGCAGCTGGCTTTGTAACTCATGCTGTAAAGACTCCCGCACTAAGCTCCAGAAGTCCCAGGTTCAAATCTGCAGGATACACCTGTTTCTCCATTAAACTTTCTACAAGTTAAACACAGGCCTCCCTTACAATCAAGTTTAGGGTTTTTTCCCCTTTGGGCCCCCCACTAAAAGCCCTTTCATGCTTTTCACTTGTCACACTGCCAGGCCAGATCCCAAGAACTGCCAGGTATGGTACTTTTACACTACTTGGCTCAAACAAACTAGTCCCATTTGGTCACAAACATCATCCAATAGTTCAGGCATCACAAATAAAATATAGGCATGGCTGGAAACTGGCCTAACTGCATAAGAATTGCATAAATTAACTGGGAAGGATGATCTTGAGATTTGACACTGGACTGGGATTCAGGAGGTGAGTTCATTTCCTGACTCTCAGTGTAATCTTGGAAAAGTCACTTGACTCTTCTCTTTCACAGGTTCATGACTATAAAATACAAATAATAATGCTTCATCTCCCTTTCCTTTTATCTCTGTCTACTTAGACTATAAGCAATCTTGGGGCAAAGCTTGTCTTTTACTATGTGCCTGTATAAAATAGAACCTCAGAGTTACACCAAAGTAGGGATGTTAATGGTTAACCGGTAAGCCTCACTCTTAACAGTTACGGTTAACTGGCATAGGCTGGTGAAACTCCCCACCTGCTGCAGGCAGGAGGCTGCTCCAGCCTTGCATGGGGCCCGCAGGGCTGCTTCAAGCAGGCCAGGCTGCCCACAGGCAGGGGTTGCTCCAGCCTGGCCAGCCTCCCATTTAATTGGTTAACTGGTTAACCAATGCAATGGTATTTTACATCCTTACTGCAGAGTCATCTGGAACCAGAAGTACACAATATGGCAGAAGCAGAGACCACAAAAAAAAGAAAAAGCATCCAGTACAGTATTGTGTTTAAATGTAAATTATTAAAAATAAATAAAGGAAAGCTTAGAAAAAAGATCTGACAAAGTAAGGAAATTGTTTCTGTATTTGCTTCGTTTAAATTACGATGGTTAAAAGCAGCATTTTCTTCTGGATAGTATAGTTCCAAAACTATGTTAATTTTCAGTTTTAAAGTTTGGAAAGAACAAAAAGTTTTGTTCAGAGTTACAAACAACATCCATTCCCAAGGCATTTGTAACTCTGGGGTTCTACTAGAATTCCTATCACAAAGTGACTCTGTTCCTCATTGGGGCTTTGAAGAGCTAACATAAGTAATGTTTTAGTTTAAGCGAGGTATTGTCTAGTAGGCAGAAAGACCCCATGCAAAACACAGCTAATTGCTGTTCTATGTATAACATCTAAATGAGGTAATTTGAGTTGTTTCTATGAAGAAGCTAGAGAGAGAGTGTTCTTTGCTAAATACCAAACAACAGTTCACAACTACACAATCCCATTGCCTCTCACAAACCCAATCCACCACTATTCTGTCTAAATGAGGAGTCCTGTGGCACCTTAAAGATTAACAGATTTATCTGGGCATAAGCTTTCATTGGTAAAACCCATTTCAGACCTCTAAACAAAGTGGTTTTTTACCCACAAAAGTTTGTGACCAAATAAATCTTTTTAGTCTCTGAAGTGCAACAGGACTCCTCATTGGTTTTGCAGATATAGGTAACACAGCTACCCCTCTGAGACTTATTGTGTATAAATTATTCAAGACTGCCTGGTAGTACAGGACGTCAAGTTAGTGTAAAGGACTGTCTACAACGTCATAAAAATGTTCTCTTTTTCTCTTCTCCCCCGTGTGTTAGCTATTACACGATGAACCTCTCTAGTCTAGCACCCTAGGGACCTGACTGTTGCCAAACAATCATGCTGGACCACGGATGTTGCTGGACCAGAGAGGTCCAGAGAAGGTCACCTGTAAGGGTTGTGGATGCTCCTGAAATGAGGGTGCATAATTTTTGGATGTATTCCTTCCTCTACAACGCTTTTTGCTGAGGTACAAGAAACCAGAAAATTAAACTTACTGATCTAATTTCAATAGTTAATAAAAATACAAGCAGTAAACAAAGTATAACTGTAATAAATATTAGATTTAAAAATGTTTCAATTTTAATAAATCAAGACATTAAGTAACAGATTTTTTTTCGTTTATAATTTTTATCTTTGCAGCATCCCTTTAAAATAATGGTATGGTTCTGGTTTTGAACAATCAAGTCATTAAGTTTTAGAAGCTCAAAATAAAAACATTCAGTACCAGGGACTTTATTTTATAATGTGTATTAATTTCCAGTAACATAAATAAAAAGTGGTTTGGATTTGAAAGATGCTGCTGCAAGTTTTGGCCCAGGGAAAATTAAAGCCAAACCACAAACCAATGAAGAGAAGTTTTTAGGGACAGCCTGTAGAAGTGTTATGCACCTGATAATGTGAAATCAATCAGAATTGAGTCTTTGGCAATGCTCAGAATCAGATAGTTATAAAGGGAAATGCCAGTGGATCTTTAACCAGAACTGCAATATGGGGTACTACTGTTATTACTGTTATAAACAACAGTGCTATTGTTTCTCAGCCTGGTCTCAGAAGGCTTCAGTAAAGGGTTAAACTATTGCTAAGAGAGGAGAGGAAGGGCATTAGAAGCATTTCCACAGAATATCCAGTTACCCTACCACCTCTTACCTGATAAACTCCAGCTACGAAGGTCACCGTGGCTCCCACAACAATTGCATAGCAACTTCTATCACATAAAGTCTGGTTCACAGCCAAAGAGGTGGTATTTACATAAATTGCCATCTCTCTGCGAAGGCCACTGGGAACTCTGGGCTCCATGTGATACCCAACTCTCTCTACCTCGCGGTCCACTACCTGTCCCACCATCAGGCAAAGCACACCGAAAATACCAACTGATATGTGACGAGACGTACCAAACACGAAATAAATAATGCTGGCAAAAAAAGATGTGTAAAGTCCATAAATAGGTTCCTGGCCAGCCAGCAGGGAATAGGCAATGGACTGTGGAACCAGCAGGATGCCCACTATCACACCAGACATTATATCTCCCAGGAGATACTCTCTCGGTTTATATCTGGGGAGCCACTCCAAGACTGGGAGAAAACTGAATATCAGGTCTTTAACTTTGGCTGGGGTGCAACTGCAAATTTTCTTCGCTTTCTTGACCAGAAGTGCTTTTATATCAATGCTCGCCTCTGTAGGCTCCAGGAACATCATGGACTGAAAATTGTGTTTGCCATCCTTTCCCTCTGCCATTTCAGATGCTGACTGGATGTGGCTGAGTTCCACTTCTGCTGCCATCCTGAAGGCTCCCTACCAACACAAACATTATCAGATAAGTCAGTTAATCTTAAACTAATGTCTAGAATATTCCAGGTTATTTGTTTTTTTTAAATGAGAGTGAATTTAGTTCTCATGAAAGTCAAGGACTAAAAGTGCTAGCTTAAGCCAAGCATTGTACAAGCAAGGTCTCAGACAACTCAATCTTGCCCAGCTGTTCTTCCCATCTTCAACCAAGCACAGACGTGGATTGCTGGTTTTGTCCAACTATATTATAAAATGGAAGGAAAATATACCCCCAGACTCCTTTTAACTTGTAGGTCCCGGACCCAAGCAAGATAAGATTGAGCCAGGCTGCTAGCCAGCCTGCTAAAAAATGTTCTGGTGGGAGGCAGGGGGAATGCACGTAGTCTTTAGCATTGACCTATAAGCTTTTTCTTATCGATTAATTAACTACACTATTACATCCCTAGTTCAGACAGCCTCTCCATGAATATGGCTGATTAAATCCTAGCTACACACATACTAAAAGAGAACACACTTCTTTTGTGTAATCAGATCTGCATACCGCATAGCAGCACAGTCAATTCTATTCAGCAAAAATAGAAACAGTAGGCTGTACTAGCTAAACATTCATTACAACACAATTTGTGAAACACACCCTTTGCAACTCAATTTCTGGCACAGAATTTGTGTCTTTCATTAGGGTTTCTAGCATAGTTAGGATTCCAGCCATTGTGGAGCTTTACTTATTACCTAAAAAGCAGCAATTTGTAGCCAAAGGGTTTTGTTGCACCAAATGATAGAGCACAGGAACACTTTCCATTTTTTTAAAACAAAGTTTGGATTTGAAGCAAATTATATCCAACCAAAGGAACAGAAACACGCGTCTTAATTAGAGATTAATTAGAGTACTAGCTGTCACATGCTCACACCAACAGGCTTCTCCTACCATGGACTAAACTGAACATAAGAACATAAAAATATAAGAATGGCAATACTAGGTCAGATCAAAGGTCCACCTAGCCCAGTATCCTGTCTGCTAACAGTGGCCAATACCAGATGCTCCAGAGGGAGGGTATGTCTACACTACAGCGCTAATTCGAACTAACTTAGTTAATTCGAACTAAGCTAATTTGAACTAACGGATCCAGACTAAAAAACTAGTTCGAATTAGCGTTTTGCTAATTCGAACTAGCATGTCCACATTAAGTGGACCCTGAACCGGGGTTAAGAATGGCCGGAAGCAGTGCCGGCAGGGCATCAGATGAGGACTTAGAGCGTGGAGCTGCTGCCTCAGGCTAGCCGAGGGCTGTGCTTAAAGGGTCCCGACCTCCACCCCGGAAAGACAGTTCTCAGGGGTGTCCCGCTTGCAAAGCAGTCCTGGCTTGGAGTGCCCTGAGTGCCCACACTGGGCACATCACAGCACTCGGCCATCAGACCGGCTGCACTTGCTGCAGGCTGCCATCTGGGGAGAAGGGGCAATTGGGGGGATGCAGAAGAGCTTCCACCCCCAGAAGCCCGCAGAGCCAGCCCAGTCCTCCCCATCGGGGGCTCGTACCCCATTCCTCCCTCACCTCCTTCCACTTACCCTTCCCTAGCCCCCCTTCCTGATGTACAAAATAAAGAAAACGTGTGGTCAAAAATAGAATCTCTCTTTATTGAACAAAACTCAGGGAGACTGGGAAAAGGAGGTGGGAGAGGGGAAGAGAGAGAGTGGGAGAGGGGAGGGCAACTAAAATGATCAGAGGTTTGGAACAGGTCCCATATGAAGAGAGGCTAAAGAGACTGGGACTTTTCAGTTTAGAAAAGAGGAGACTGAGGGGGGATAGGATAGAGGTCTATAAAAGCATGAGTGGGGTGGAGAGGGTGCATACAGAAAAGTTCTTCATTAGTTCCCATAAAAAAGGACTAGAGGACACCAAAGGAAAGGAATGGGTAGCAGGCTTCAAACTAGTAACAGAAAGTTGTTCTTCACAAAGCAAAGAGTAAACCTGTGGAACTCCTTGCTGCAGGAGGCTGTGAAAGCTAGAACTAGAACAGAGTTTAAAGAGAAGTGAGATAAAGTGAGGTTGGGTCCATGGAGTGGTATTAGCCAGGGGGTAGCAGTGGTGTCCCTGCCCAAGGTTTGTGGAAATCTGGAGAGGGATGGCACGAGACAAATGGCTTGGTCACTGTCTTCGGTCCATCCCCTCCAGGATCCCTAGGGTTGGCCGCTGTCGGCAGACAGGCTACTGGGCTAGATGGACCTTTCGTCTGACCCAGTGTGGCCATTGTAAGCTCTCCTGCCCTAGACGGCCACTTTCCTGTGCCTAGTGCGGAGATCGTGGACAAGGTCCACGATGTCCGCACTAGACCAGGCGGGTGCCCACCTCTTGCGGTCCCGGGCAAGCTCCCAGGAGCTGACAGCCTGGTCCCGGGAAGAGGGAGAGGCTGGGGCTGGCTCGAGCTGTGCCAGGTGCAGGGTCTGCTAGCTGGGTGCTGGCAGTCTTGCACCTGGCACGGGCACCGTAGCCAGCCCGTGCCCCTTTAAGGAGTCCGGGGCCGGGAGGGGGGCAATAGAGTTTCCCTGGTGTTGGCCAGAGTGGCCACCAGGGAAAGCTGGGGAGGGCTAGCCTCCCACTAGTTCGAATTAAGGGGCTACACACCCCTTAATTCGAACTAGTAAGTTCGAACTAGGCTTAATCCTCGTACAATGAGGTTTACCTAGTTCGAACTAAGCGCTCCGCTAATTCGAATTAAGTTCAAACTAGTGGAGTGCTAGTGTAGTGCCTATCAAAGTTAATTCAAACTAACGTCCGTTAGTTCGAATTAACTTTGTAATGTAGATATACCCGGAAGGAACACAACAGGTAATCCTCATGTGATCCCTCCCGTCACCCATTTCCAGACAAAGATGATATCTGAGACTATCTCAATAAAGAACATTCTTATAATAAGAACTTACGTCTTCAACATGTGAAAGCAAAAAATCTGAGCAGACAAGGAAATAAAACACAACCTGAGACACCACTAACACATGTATGTAACCTGGCGCTTACCCAATCTTCTGCTTCAGAGCCTTTTGCAAATACAATTCCTTCACAGATGGCTTGCAAGGATGAATTAAATATTATTGCTCAGATTTTACATAAAGTGAAACTCAGCCAATGACGGACATACTGAAGGCCACAAAAGAGTATGTCAGAGACTAGAACATTGGAGTTTCTAGTTCCCAGTCCTCCACCTTCAAAACCAGATCACATCTCTTTACCAGTTCAGCTCTACTAATAACAAAAATATTTTGCATTTATGCAGCAATTTACACCTTCAATGTGCAGCTCGAATGTTAACAAATGGAGAACTCATATGCTATGCAATCAACTTCTGAATTAATTAGCTGAAATATATTTGGACTAGGCTTGATGAGAATAGATTGCAGGGTTCTCACTGGAAATTCTTTTACTTAATTAACACTTTGCAAAGAGCTATAAAGTGTTTCTGCTACTAAGTAAATCTCTTGGCAGCTGTGTCCACATGGGTAAAGCAAAAATCAGACCTTCTATTTAGACAGCTTGTTTCTCCCACTGTCTGTTACAAGACACTTCTCTTGGGAGTTGTGCAGGAGTGGAAATGGCTTCAGCTGTACAATTAATTTCAGTTTACCAGAGTTCTTTATCTATACTTTTTCCTTCTGCCTTTGAGCGCTCTGAAACAGGGATGCCATCCACTATCCCCTAAGGCAATGGTCCATGTCCATCATCGTATTCAATAGTCCATTAGCACACACAAATAACTCAGGCTAATTGCACATAGGATCCCCAGAAGGATTTGGGTAATAATTTTGACAATGAAAAAAACCTAAATGGTGAAGTATCTGCTTTATTGAACTACCCACATTTGCCCGTGACTCCAAAAGCAGTGGTGGCATTTAAAGAAGCCTCTATTCCCAACTAGCAGTATCCAATACATATCTATAATTCAGTTCCAATTAGGAATCAATATGTTCTTATTAGTTCAGCTGCTCCATATTACACTGCAATGTCTTTCACTTTGGAGCCTCTGTTCTGTTTTAACCTGTAGTGATTGTAACAATATTCAATAGCAACGGAAGGTTATCATATTTTGATCAATTGTATTGAACTGGGTCAGTCTCCCTTCTCTTCTAGAACACATTCAAGTTCTTATCCAAAATAGTCTGATCTCTGATGCCCATTAAAACCAATGAACTAACTCAGGCTACTCTAATTCTAGAGGTATATTTTCAAACTAGAATAGAGACCCAACTTAAATGTATACCCCAAATTTAAAAATATAGAAAGAGACCTAAAAAAGAGTCACCGTGGCTTAACCACCATGTAAAAGAAGCAGGGAGGGACAAAAAGGTATATTTTAAGAAGTGGAAGTTCAATCCTATGAGATAAATAGAAAGGAACATAAACATTGTCAAATCAAGTGTAAAAATGTAATAAGAAAAGCAAAAAAAGATTTTGAGGAACAGCTAGCCAAAAACTCAAAAACAAATAACAAAATGTTTTTTAAGTACATTAGAAGCAGGAAGCCTGCTAAAAAACCTGTGGGTCCCCTAGATGATCAAGCTATAAAAGGAGCAATCAAGGACGATAAAGCCATTGCGGAGAAACTAAATGATTTCTTTGCTTCAGTCTTCACGGCTGAGGACGTTGGGGAGATTCCCGAATCTTCACCGTCTTTTGTGGGTGGTGAATCTGAGGAACTGTCCTGGATTGAAGTGTCATTAGAGGAGGTTTTGGAACAAATAGAAAAACTTAATGTTAACAAATCTCCGGGACCGGATGGCATTCATCCAAGGGTTCTAAAAGAACTCAAATGGGAAATTGCTGAGCTATTATCTGTGGTTTGTAACCTACCGTACTCCTCTCAGGAGGAGGAGGATCGGGTGCTGGCAGGGCTGCCTTCAGCGCTTGATGTAGGGGGTCTACACTAGACCTGCTAAATCGAATGCTAGAAGAGTGATCTCTGGAACATCGATCTTCTCGTAAGTGTAGACATGCCCTCACTGTCCCAACATGATG